GGCCGCACTGACCCGTGCGCGGCGGCAACGGACGGGCCTCCCCACGAGGCGTGCGGGGTGCAGGTTACCGCACGTGTCCCCGCCCCGCACGCCCGGAGCTCCCCGCAGCGGGGAGGACCAACAGCCCGGCCAGGTTCTGGTGCAACGACAGGACTCGCCGGTTAACCGGATGTGGAAGACGAAACTGTCACTTACTGGGTAGGAGGAGCGGGTTCAGGAGAGCATAAGAAACTCTCGATTCGCTCTGGACCTAGGAAGCCCGAGGTGCCCATGAGATGCCCAAGCAGGAGCGCCAAGCGCACAGCTCCCGGGCCGGCCCTGGCGAGCCGCTCTCCCCGGCCGCAGGGGCCAGGGCCAGAGTGGAGGCCAGGCGAGGGCTCTGTGCTCTTCCAGCGCCTTTTCCCTCCACATGTCCTGTCTCACGAGACAGCGGTGACGGTCCAAAGAAGAAATTTTATATGGAATTTATACCGAAGAAAACATAAAGGCCTTTTTGTTCGTCTGGGTTTGGGTTTATGGACATATAGAGTCCTCTCCCACCAATTTACTTTCTGGTGTCAACATCCGGTGCCAGGACCGATGAACTTCCCAGCAGTCTAAGAAAAAAATCCGTTCTTAAAAAAAATAAAGGCAGGGCACTATAGCTTTCAAAAGGCAAGTTATATAGAAAATTATTATACTCCAGCTGTGAAAACAGATAGGAAGTAACAAAATTAGTAAAAAGATTTTTAAAAATTTTCCAATTCATGTTTTAACTTTTTCTATAACTATGTCAACCATTGAGAATTACATAAGCCAGATTTTTAAAAACACTATCAGCACAATTTCAAAGACTCACTGTTTCATAATCCAAAACAAAGACTGCCGAAACAATACACAATTATCATGTCTTTAGCCCCAAAGACTGTGGCGACATGTTTGGTGATTATAATTTAGTTAGTGCTGCTACTGTGGATGCTCATTCTAACATTTTCAAACATGATTCAAGTGAGTTTATAAGGGCATGATTCTATTCAGC